ACGTTGCATCTGAGAGTTGCAGCAGAAGTCCCACAGAGCAAGCTTTTAAAGGCAAACATCTTCTTTTGTAGGAAAGGCTCTTCTCAGGAGTTTTTATACAAACCCGGCGTGGAATTGACCAGGCGGAACATTTCGTATCTCAGCTCAGCTGCTGAGCCAAGAGCGGCGTGAATTTATTGCCAGCTATGCTGGAAATCCAGGTGTTTAGCTGAGATTTTTTTTTTCATTTTATGTGCTGGTGTAGTTAAGCCCCTCTCTCTCTCTCTCTCTCTCTCTCTCTCTCTCTCTCTCTCTCTCTCTCTCTCTCTCTCTCTCTCTCTCTCTCTCTCTCTCTCATATTTGCACACCCTGCCAGGGTTCAGCTGGAGGGGAGATTAAAGCTGCTTCCCTTCCTTGCACTAAAACCTTCCAGATGGGGCTCCATTTAAGGGAAAATCGATCTTGGGCTCTAACAGGCGAAACCCAGCATCCTATTAGCAAGGATGTTTAGTTAAAGTTTGTTGGCTACTCAGATGCGCGTGGCAGGGTGAGAGCGGCAGGAAGCAAACAGAGAAAGCGCGCCCAGCCTTTCTGTGTGGCTTGACAGATTGGAATCAATCAGCACGGGATCAATCAATCAGATTGGAATCGATCAGCAGGGAAGACAGCTGTTACTGATGATGGGCTTATGGGTCCATTTATGGGATGGGGGGGGGATGGCTTGCCCTGGCAAAGGATGATAATCTGCAGAAAAACACTTGTTTATTCTGGTCAGCCCTAACCGTAACTTTAGCCATTTGTATATAAAAAGAGACCAAACCCCACTCTCTTCTAGCACTGATGATGTTACCTAGGTGGTGTTGAAAGAAAAGTCTTCATCATGGTCCAGTCCAAGCCGGGGTTAAACAACATGGTGACTGCTTTAGAAAGAAGGTTGCAGTTTATTGAAGAGCCAGACAGAAAGATGGTTCTGGCAGGAAAGAGGAGAGAAAAAAGGGGTGAACACATGTAAGGAGTGGGTTTTTATACCCTCTGGAGCCTTTTGTTTGGAGTCGTTCCTGTGGCATGAACTTTGACCTGAGTGTGCCTTTCTGGTATTCTGATGGTGATGGGTTAATCCTATTATGTCCAAAGGTCATATTCTGCTTCCCTGGGGCTGGGACTGATGACTCTTAGAGTTTGGAGTCATGTAGATTTTAGGTCTTTGTCTTCTTAATCTCCTAGCTCTCTGGATTTACATCTGCATCTCTATAGAGCTGGTTTTTGCTTGGGGGAGGGAGACTGGGGGCTACTAAGAAAAACTGGGCATGCTTTCCTGCATGTTTAAGATCCTTTGAGGAAATATATTTTTCTGCCCTTTTAATATTTCCTTCTCTGGGGGGATGACTTCCCACAGTTGGTAATGAACCGTCTGCAAGAAAACAACCAACCTCAGAGAGCACCAAGGACCCCATAGTCATCCTCCTCCTCTTCCTGCTCCTCCTCCTCCTGCTCCTCCGTTTTATTAAAAGTCAAAAGTTCATCGACTAACATGGTTCTCAGCCTACAACTTTTTCTAATTATTGATAGTCAGTTTGGTCTAGTGGTTAAGGCACCAGGCTAGAAACTGGGAGATGCTGAGTTCTAGTCCTGCCTTAGCAGTGGAGGGATTCAAACGTGTAACAACTGGTTCTCTATGTGAATGAAGCTTCTGGAAGTCCATCCTGGGCCTGGGCAAAAAAAAAAAAATAGCTACTGGTTCTTCCAAACTGGTGCAAACTGCCTGAATCCCACCACTGTGCCTTAGGCATGAAAGCCAACTGGGTGACTTTGGCCCAATCACCAGGAGACTGTGAGTTCTAGTCTCACCTTATGCATGAAAGCTGACTGGTTGACTTTGGACCAATCACCAGGAGATGGTGAGTTCTAGTCCCACCTTAGGAATGAAAGCTGGCTGGGTGACTTTGGACTAATCACCAGGAGACAGTGAGTTCTAGTCCCACCTTAGGCACGGAAGTCAACTGGGTGACTTTGCACCAATCACCAGGAGACGGTGAGTTCTAGTCCCACCTTAGGCAGGAAAGATGGCTGGTTGACTTTGGACCAATCACCAGGGGACGGTGAGTTCTAGTCCCACCTTAGGCATGAAAGCCGGCTGGTTGACTGCGCCAATCACCAGGAGACTGTGAGTTCTAGTCCCACCTTAGACAGGAAAACAGGCTGGTGTTTCTGGGTCAGTCACTCTCTATCAGCCCAACTGCCCTCACAGGGTTGTTGTTGTAGGTAAAATAAGAGGTGGTGGCACTATTAAGTATGCTCACTACCTTGAGTTACTTATAAAAAAGAATAAAGGCCAGACAAAAAATAAATAAATTACCAACCAAATCATGTTGAAGACACCACACTCTTCTTGACTTCTAAGGCTCAGCTTTGTCTCACCTGTCAAGAGGTAAAGGGAAGGGAAGGGCTGCTATAAGACCCCCCCCCCCCAAAAAAAACCCAGGCATTGCAGTGAATGTGGGAAGTTCACGGTTTGTACAAGGCAGCAAGCCATAAACTCACAAAAATTAGAACGGGCTTTTGCAAAAGGCTACGCCTCTCCCAAAACAAACTCCCTTTCCAGCCACTCCTAACCAAGAAGACTAGATTCCCACAAAGCCTCATTAACCAGAAATCAAAGGTAAATCAAAGTTAGGTTACAGAAACTTGCAAACTGGCTATGTAGACTTTCGCATCCATTGATCAGCTCAGGTGGGAGATGCTTTGATCGAGCTGACTGTCTGTTGCTGCAAGGGATTGTGCTCCCCAGTGTGCTGGCATATGAGGAGCGTGGAGACGTTTTTGGTCCTGGAATATTTTGCAGACCACTATCAAATTTCCCATGTCCCAAAGATTAAATCAAAGCAAGCTTAGCATAGGGTGCTACTGCAGATGCAACAAGCGTTGGGGAAAGTGCAGAGAAGAGCAACTAAGATGATCCAAGGCCTGGAGACTAAAACATATGAAGAACAGCTGCAAGACTTGGGTTTAGCTAGTCTAAAGAAAAGAAGAAACAGGGGCGACATGATAGCAATATTCCAGTATTGAGGGGCTGCCACAAAGAAGAGGGGGTCACATTATTCTCTAAAGCACCAGAAGGAAAGACAAGAAACAATGGTTGGAAATTGACCAAAGAGAAAAGCAACCAGGAATTAAGGAGAAACTTCCTAACAGTGAGGACAATTAACCAGTGGAACAGAAGTTGCCTCCAAAAATTGTGGGTGCTCCATTCACTGGTGGTTTTTAAGAAGAGACTGGACAATCACTATCAAGAGCCGAGGTGGCGCAGCAGTTAAAGTGCAGTACTGCAGGCCACTTTAGCTGACTCTGTTCAGCAGGTCAGCAGTTCAAATCTCACCGGCTCAAGGTTGACTCAGCCTTCCATCCTTCCGGGGTAGGTAAAATGAGGACCCAGATTGTTGGGGGCAATGTAAATATATATATGCATTGCTTACTGGTGTACACCACTTAGAGAGTGCTCGCATTTAAAGCGGTATATAAGTCTCATAAATAAATAAATAAATAAATGGTATAGGTTCTCCTGCTTGAGCAAGAGGCTGGACTAGAAGACCTCCAAGGTCCCTTCCAGCTCTATTCTGATTGATTGATTGCATGTTACAGGATATTGAGACACAACAGTTTAAGGACTCACAGCTAGAAGGAGTCTCAGAAATTGCTGGTCAAGGTAGATAGAAAGCTTGGTTTGGGGTGTGCTGTAGATTAAAAAAAATCAAAAGGAAACGTTATGGAGATATGAATCCATGCCACCTTGTTCTACTCGATGCAAGCGTATATTAGACTCTTCTTCAGGTCTTTTAACACTACGGATGGTATATCTGTGTTCCAGGTTGTGTGTAGTGCACATTGTGGGTGGTATGATGTACATGGCAGCGGGGGTGGTACCGACGTGAGATTGTCCAACAGTTCTGCTTATTGCAGCTCTTCATGACGATCTACAGGCAAGGTCAGGTGTACATCTGTGCTGGTATTTAGAGAAAGTGTATTTGTGGTGATAGAGTTGGCTTGTATGGCCTTGCTTGAAAAACACCTTCAAAAGGAAGAAGATAGCTTCTGTCATAAGCCCTTAGCAGAGAAGGGAGGGGAGTGTGTTACACAAGCAGGTGTGACCTTGGTCTGTGAGCAGAAGTTCCATACGGTCTTAATATCTATACTAAGTAGCTGTCTTCTAGTATTTGAGGGGCTGTCACAGAAAAGAAGGGAATGTCTATGGCAGCGTGCCTGGCTGAGGAATTCTGGGATTTGAAGTCCACAAGTCATCAAAGGGCCAAGTTTGAAGACCCCTGGTCTATGGAGATCCTCTGTCTTCCAGCTCTGACTGGATGGTGGGGAAGGGCAGGATTTATACTCCTTGCAGACAGCTGGTCATTTGCATTCTTTTAGAGAGTCGTTGAGGCCACTTGGAGGTTTACCTGTGTCCTCAGGAACCATTTGTGCTTCAGTTTGAGATGCAGACAATACAGGCTCATCCCTTGCAGCCTGCACCTGTCTTCAACAGTGAAGGGATACAGAACAGAAAACATCCTACAGTCAAGAAGGCTCCACACACACTTGCACTACTCAGGTGACCCACAGGTCAACCTCTAAGTGTATGACTTCCAAGTTTCCTCATAATTTATCCTGGTCTTTTTAAACTTCCTCCCTAGCAATGCAAGGCAGATGATCTCTGTGTCTAAGGGTTGAGCTTGAAGACCTTCAAGGTCTTTCTTTCCCACCCCATGATTCTACGTTCTAGTGGTATCTTTTAGATCAGGCATGTCAAACTGCCGGCCCACGGGCTGGGTGCGTCACGCCGAAACCACACCCACCCCATTACCGGCAATGGGGAAAAAGTCACGATACGTCGTGCGCCGTCACATGACGTCACGAGTTTGACATGCCTGTTTCAGATGTTCTTACAAGGCAGATCTGGGCCTCACTGCCTTTCGCCATGCTGCATTCTGCAAATTCCTGAAATCTATGGTTTCTCTTCTCTCTGTAGGGTTGCTTGTCCGAGCCACAAGGAATAACCTGAATCCCGACGTGAGAAGGCTGGATTCATCTGCCACTGAACTGGGGGCCGGTTCTCTCTCTCCCTCTTTCTCCTGTTATGTCCAAGATCTGCACTTTGCCTGGCAATTGCTTTGAGTTCCAAAGGACCAGGGGACTAGGATGAGGAGGAGCAATAGATATTCCTTGAACCTGCTTTGGTTGTTGCCACCGTTCTTAGTGTGGACCGTGGTGGCCCTTGACTTGGGACCTTCGCCCTGCACCACCTTGGTCCAGGGCAAGTTTTTTGGATACTTCTCCTCTTTTGCCGTCTTCCCGTTGAACGCTTCCCGCTGCAATTGGATTATCCAGAACCCCGATCCTAGGAGATACACGTTGTACATGAAGGTTTTGAAGCCCTCGGGTCTCTGCGACCATCAGCAGATACACACGTACCAATTTGACTCCTTCTTGGAGTCTACACGGACGTACCTGGGCATGGAGAGCTTTGACGACGTGTTGAACCTTTGCGATGGCTCTACCCGCTACGCCTTCCTCCAGTCAAACAAGCAGTTCCTCCAGATGAAGCAGACTCTGTCCAAAGTGGATAGCGGGTGGATCAGGTGGAAACCGGCCAAGGTTCAGGAAAGAGACTTCTCGGTTGAGTATCTTGTGGTTGGCAACAGAAGCCCTAGCAAAGCCGCTTGCCAGATGCTGTGCAAATGGCTGGATACTTGCTTGACCACCAGCAGCAGCTCACACCCTTGTGGCATCATGCAGACACCGTGCTCTTGTTTCACTGGAGAGGTGCTGGATCAACCCAGTGAGATCTTTGGCTTAACCAAAAAGCAGGACAATTGTTTTAAGGATGGGATTTACCTGGAGAATTGCATGAGTTCCACCAAGGACACCACTGGGCTGGATTTCTTGGGTAAGTAAAGTGGTTGATGCTTTGATCAAAGGACCCCACAGAATGTTTGCTTAAATGGGTGATGTGATGCGATTTCTTTTCTTTTCAGCTGTTAGGGTGGCCTTCACGAATGATTTTATCGTCCAAGTTAATTTGCTTTGATTTATGACCAGCAGCACAGATCTATCTTGACTTGACTTTGAAAGGAACTGATGAATATACAAGTAGTCCTCCACTTATAACCATTCCTTTAGTGGCTGTTTGAAGTTACAATGGCCCTGAGCAAAAGTGACTTGCAACTCTTCCTCACACTAGCCAGCATCACAGCATCCCCGCGACTATGGGGTCAAAATTTGGGTGCTTGGCACACAGCATGTGTGTCAAGGTTCCGATTGATGATCCCAAAGAAATAAGCACAGCTGAGAACTTCCAGACTCTAATGCAACACTTTATTGAGCACACCATATCGGCACAGATGACTGGAAAACCAGTTCTGGTTAAATTGGCGCCAGAACAGCAAATTAAAAGCATAGAAACTCCCCTTCTCCCTGACAATGCAAGTCACATCCCCCAGTTAAGCATCAGACGATTGTTATGAGCGAAATCTTCCATTACATAGTAAATAATCTGAAGGGCTTGATTCCCAGACTTCACAACTCATTCCTGCAAATGCACATTCTGTTCAATAACCAGTGGAACAACCTGCCTCCAGAACCTGTGAATGCTCCAACACTGGAAATTTTTAAGAAGGGACTGGACAGCCATTTGTCTGGAATGGTACAGGGTCTCCTGCCTGAGCAGGGGGTTGGGCTAGATGACCTCTAAGGTCCCTTCCAACTATTATTATTATTATTACTACTACTACTACTATTACTACTACTACTACTACTACTATAATTATAATTATTATTACTATTATTACTATTATTATGATGATGATTATGATGATTATTATTATTGATCATTGCACAGTCAGCCAGATGTTCAGATTGGATTTGACATTTTTGTCTACCTATTGAGTCCTTCCCAAGGATCTGGGATAGGCAGATGTGGATGTTTGATGTTATTACAGATATCGTCGCAGGATAGAAGCGGTTCCTAGTAAGGCCGCCTTTTGCAATTGACTAATGGTGAATTTGTCAATGCTGATGATGGTGTTCAAGTGGTGCTCCAGTTGTTTTGGGATTGCACCCAAGGCTCCTGTTACTATTGGTACTACCCTTGCTTGCCTTTGCCACAGTCTTTCTATTTCTGTTTGTAGGTCTTTGTATTTTGTTATCTTCTCCAGTTCTTTCTCGTCTATTCTGCTGTCTCCAGGCACTGCCACATCCACTATTTGTCTTTCTTATCGACAATTGTTAAGTCTGGGGTGTTATGTTGCAGGGGCTTGTCTGTTTGAATTCTGAAGTCTCAGAGCAGTGTAATTTTATCATTTTCTATGACTTTCTCTATTTTATGATCCCACCAGTTCTTGCTTACAGACAAATGATATTTCTTGCAGATCTTCCAATGCACCATTGTTGCTACTTTGTCATGCTGCTGCTTGTAGTCAGTCTGTGCAATCTTCTTGCAGCAGCTTTATTGTTGTTGTTGTTGTTGTTGTTATTATTATTATTATTATTATTATTATTATTATTATTATTATTATTATCCCCCTCCCCTCCCTGGGTCTGTAGGTAAGCCAAGAAACAGAAATGGCCAAAACATTTTAGTTTCTTGGAAGCTTTCTTTCACAATATGATAATTGTAGTGTTCCGAGGTCATGTGATCCCCAACCTGTCCAACTCTGTTTATTTTAATCTACTCTACTCTACTCTACTCTACTCTACTCTACTCTACTCCACTCCACTCCACTCCACTCCACTCCACTCGACTCCACTCCACTCCATTCCATTGCATTTCATTCCATTCCCTTCCATTTCATGTTTTCTATTCCATTCCTTTCCATTCCATTCCATATTTTCTATTCCATTCCATTCCATATTTTCCATCCCATCCCAAAGCTCCCTTAACACTTTGTTCTGATTAATGGAAGCTTCACTGGTTGTCTACATAGGTTTAATGACACAATGTGACTCACATGCAAACATTCAGATTTGCAACTGGTAGGTGGACAAGACTTGGCTTCAAAATCCCTCTTTTCCTGTTTGCTTCTTCCTATCCAAAAGGAAATTCTCCTTCCAAAAAGAAAGCTGGAATTTCTCCCTCCTATCCCCACATCCATAAAATTATGGTGGACTTGCCAGCCTAATGTTGCTTCAAGAGTTGTTTTTATGCCTATTCCTTTTGAAAAAGAATCATACAACTTTTCGGCATTTTTAAGTTGTACTAACATTTTTCTGAATGTAAAATGAAAATCAAGAGACTAGGAAAAGAGGGAAAGAGAAAAACAAGGAGGAGAGAAGTGAACTTTTGCCCGACACTCCTGAGAACAGGACAAGAAATAAGATGGAAAATTACCAAGGAGAGATCCAACCTAAATTAAGGAGCCACTTCCTAACAGTCAGGACAATTAACCAGTGGAATAGCTTGCCACCAGAAGTTGTGGGTGCTCCATCACTGGAGGTAGCTGTATCCTGTATTCCAGTATCTGCCCCAAAGAAGAGGGGGTGAAATTATTCTCCAAAGCATCTGAAGACAGGACAAGAAACAATGGTTGAAAAATGACCAAAGAGAGAAGCAACCTGGAATTAAGGAGAAACTTCCTTACAGTGAGGACAATCAGCCAGTGGAACAGAAGTTGCTTTCAGAAATCGTGGACGTTCCATCACTGGAAGTTTTCAAGAAGAGACTAGACAGTCACTTGTCTGAGATGGTATAGGTTCTCCTGCTTGAGCAGGGGGCTGGATTAGAAGACCTCCAAGAAGCTCTGCTCTGATTGATTGATCTTTCATCTTTGGTTTGGATCTGGGTGGGTGTTTGGATTCAACTCCGACTCATGGAGCTGCAGGTGTCTCCAAAGATGGAGGCCCAAGGAGGCCATGTTTTTCTTTCCACATGACCTTGCCTCGTCTTTCTCTGGCTGTCTTCTCTGGGTCTGAAAGCAGATAGTGGAAACCAAAGGCAGGCAGTTGAGATCTCTGCAGAGCATCAATAAAACAAGCTAATATCCCAACCTGGTGCACCCACAGCAGGAACCCTGGAAGCCAACGAGATTGTCTTAGCAGATGCCCATGTTGCGCTCATCAATTCTGCATGCGATTTGCATGACTCACGCTGAGCATCGGAAGGGAAAGATAAATCCTCGCCTCTTCGCCCTGGAAGCAGAGAAGCCATAATAGTTCCTGCGGAGTCCGAGGAAATCATCATTTGCTGGATGTAAGGGATCTCAGTTTTGATCTCCTCCGAATTTCTGGAGCTATCCTCTTCCCGTTGCATTTTTGAACAGCCGATTGAAGGACATTGTCTCCTTCACATCCAGTTTTGGTCGCCATGATATAAACAAGATGCTGAGACTCCAGAAAGAGTGCAGAGAAGAGCAACAAAGATGATTAGGGGACTGGAGGCTAAAGCATATAAGGAACGGTGGCAGGAATTGGGTATGTCTAGTCTAATGAAGAGAAGGACGAGGGGGGACATGATAGCAGTGTTCCAGTATCTCAGGGGCTGCCCCAAAGAAGAGGGAGTCAAGCTATTCTCCAAAACCCCTGAAGGGAGGGCAAGAAGCAATGGATGGAGGGAAGTTAACCAAGGAGAGAAGCAACCTAGAATATAAGGAGAAATTTCCTGACAGGTGGAACAATTGACCAGTGGAAGAATCTGCCTCCAGAAGCGGTGAATGCTCCAACACCGGAAGTTTTTAAGAAGAGTTTGGACAACCATTTTTCTGAAATGGTATAGGGTTTCCTGCCTGAACAGAGGGTTGGACTAGAAGATCTCCAAGGTCCCTTCCAACTCTGTTATTCTGTATTCTGTAGCTTCTAAGGGCTGCCCTACCAAGACTGTGTTGCAGTAGTCCAGTGAAAAGAAGAAGGGTGACATGATAGCAGTCTTCCAATATCTCAGGGGCTGCCCCAAAGAAGAGGGAGTCAAGCTATTCTCCAAAGCATCAGAAATAAGACAAGAAGCAACGGATGGAAACTAATTAAGGAGAGAAGCAACCTGGAACTAAGGAGAAACTTCCTGACGGGGGGGTTGGACTAGAAGACCTCCAAGGTCCCTTCCAGCTCTATTCTGAATTGAAAAAAAATGGCTGGGTGGAAATTGTACATCTCTATTTTGGTTCAACCTTGTTCAAATCACCCCACCCTCCATTCCAACAGTCGAACAAGATGCAGTTGAGTGATGAGAAAAGTAAGGTTTCATAGTTAGACAAATGCACAGGTACCTGGCTCAACAGTGGTGCCTGTGAGAAGGATCTATGTGTCCTGGTGGACCAGCACTTAAATATTGAGCCAGTAGTATGTTGCAGCTGCCAGAAAAGCCAGTGCAGTCCTGCCTCAACAGAACAGTCACGAGAGGTGATAGTACCGCTTTACAAAGCCTTAGTAAGGACACACCTGGAATACTGCAGCCATTTTTGATCACCATATCACAAAAAAAGATGTTGAGAGTTTGGAAAAAATTCAGAGAAGAGCAACAAACTCCTCCTCCTCATCTTTGCAAACCCCATTCCCTTCTAGCACTGATGATGTTACCTATTTGGATAATGAAACGTCTGCAAGAAAATCACCAAGCTCAGAAAGCACCAAGAACCCCACAGTCTTTCTTCTTCTTCTTCTTCTTCTTCTTCTTCTTCTTCTTCTTCTTCTTCTTCTTCTTCTTCTTCTTCTTCTTCTTCTTCTTCTTCTTCTTCTTCTTCTTCCTTCTTCTTCTTCTTCTTCTTCTTCTTCTTCTTCTTCTTCTTCTTCTTCTTCTCCTCCTCCTCCTCCTCCTCCTCCTCCTCCTCCTCCTCCTCCTCCTCTTCTTCCTTCTCCTCCTCCTTCTTCTCCTTCTCCTCCTCCTCCTCCTCATCATCATCATCTTTGCAAACCCCATTCCCTTCTAGCACCGATGATGTTACCTATTTGGATAATGAAATG